ACGTTTCCATTTCACCGGTTTCGTCCAAAAAACGTCGAGGCCAAACAACTATTTACCAAACGTCGTTTTCATTTATTGAAAATGCTACAAGTGATCAACCCGTCATTTTTTTTGCTGAAACGTCATTTTCCAAACATCCCATTAAAACAAAAGGAAAATAAAATAAAAGATTTTGGCATAGACACGTGGTACGATCTGATCCATGAGCTTGCAATAAATTGTAAGTTCATCATTGATAATGTGAAAAAAATGAAAATTATGAACTATGAACTTGATATCAGTATTGTAGATGTTTACATGAACCTACCAAATTATTCAGTTTATTATGTTCACTTTCAAGTTTGAACATTACCAAATTGTAACATTCTACGATAGTAAACTATTAAGGGGTTAAACTATTAAGGGGTGTTTGGATTTGATTCTTAAAACTATTTATGTTCCTTCTGCAGGGAGCAGAAGTAGAAGCCAAAGTGTTTGGGTGAAAGCGCAGAAGTAATTCTGGTGCTCTGATTTACTCATAGAATCAGTTTTTTTGAAGTTGAGAGTGACCAACTTCTGAAAACTGATTCTGATTCTACTTCTGCTTTAAAAAAAGAAGTAGAAGGAGTTCCAAACACCCCTAAACTAACCATTTAAAAAAATTGCACATTTTTGCACAATAAAATAAAACAAGCAATTGATACTATTTTTCATCCTTATAAATAATTAGAACTTATGTTATAAAACAGTATGAGTACTATCGAAGAAACGTGATACTACAAGAATAGAAAAATAAATGCCAATGCGTTTACAATGTTTTTAATTGGATTAGAATTTTTTGTTTTGATCAGATATAGTTTGGTCTGTAGAAATCTGGTATGTAACGATACCAGGCCAACACCAAAACATTTATGTTCAATCATATTCACTAATTAAGTTTTAGATAAAAAGATGATAGGGTATAAGTTGGTGTATACACTTCTCTATAAAAACATTTTTTCTTGTAGATTTCGATATTTTGCTTCGCGAGTTGGTTTGGTCCCCTAAGCTCATCCCGTTTGTAGTCAAGTTTCAACAAAACATGATAATCTTGGTATTTTACTTTCCAGGTGCTGGAGGAATTTATTTCCCACCTCTTGGGGTTTGCTTTATTTCGAGCTCTAGGAAAAATGATTTCACTTTTAATCTTTACTTTTTCTATTAAAGCGACCCTAAAAGATAAAAATACATCTTCCACTTTATTAGATTTTTTAATTAAAAGTAATAGCTTTTCAAAATAGTAAACATGACTTTAATTTGGTATGGCCAAGACTTTTTCAACGTGCTTTGCTTTTCCTTTGTAATACGGAGTAGATGAAAAACGATACGACTTATATGCTGCCACCGCTCAAAGTTAAGCTCATAATTACCACTCCTGCAATTAATTTATAATGCTGATTCTAAGCATCACACTTTTATCATATTGAAATTGGGTGGAGATTAGGGACATCTAACCATCTACCCACTTCAGTACTCGCCCCTGCATGTACTTGGTACTATGAGGTCTCCTTGCGCATAGGAAAGCATGACAATGGGTAAGGGCAGACCCGGTAGTATAGGACCCGGACCCACCCCGTGACATAATGATAAGTCCGTATTTAGACACACATTTGATGCGTGTTGGGATCGGCTTTTGATGGTTTTCCTAGCTTTAAGGTGTTACAAGTCTCAATTTTAGCTCAAGTTATGTTTAACAGGCGTTGGTTCGAGTTTTGTGTCATTTGGAGTCAAAATCAAGATTTTAGAGTTCACATCGGCACTTGAGGAGCAATCGGGATGATTCGAGATGCATTTGAGTGTTGATTTGAGAGCTATGGAGGTCACCGGTAGGTTTACGATGAAGATTTAATGACAAAAGAGCTCTAGGATTGGCTATGGGATCAAAAAGAAGATGAATGAAGCTTGAAAACGGCATTCAGGATGACCTTTGGTCAATCGTTCAAGCATATCTCTTTGTATAAGCATCCAAAGAACACGATTCAAAGTCCACATGAAATCCAACTTTAAGAGCTACAAATCATATGAAGACATCATTCCTAGAATCTGAGAGGAAGAAGATGAAAACAGACGATGAAGTCAGATGATCTCTGCTGCGATCTCAGAATGACACCTTCCACCGTTTTGATCATATCTCTTGATTGGATGATTCAAATCACATTCGGCAAATTGAGGTGGATATAAGACTTCATTATATACAACTTTCATGAAGAAAGTTTTGTCAAATTCGGAAGTTTTACGCACGCCGTGCGTAGGGGAACGCACGACCGCGCGTCTGAGGCGAGAAAAGCAAGGTAGCTACTGCCAGATACGCATGGCCGTGCGTAGGGGGGACGCACGCCGTGCGTAGACCCGGGTTACGCGAAATTAAATCCCAAATCGACCCAAATTCGTATTTTTCATCCTTTTTCTATAAATAAGGCCTCTCTAACCCTTTTTGATGGTTACGAACATTACGGAGAGGCCTAGGGACGAATTTACTTGCGTTTTTACGATTGTTTACTCCAAGACCCTGGGATTATTTGTAAGTTCATCTTTTTAATTAATGAAAATTATTTCTATTCATCCCAATTTTGTTGATTCTTCAATTATGAATTGTGAGTAGTTTAATTAGGGATTTGGGGTTGATGAAGGGGTTAATCATGATTGATGGCTAAATTCTTGTCGGTTTAATTGCATGAATGCCGTTTAATTTGTGTTTGAATAATTTAACTGATATCTTTTGTAACCTGGAACCGCGGCTAGAATTACAATTGCTGGTAGAATAAATTAAGAGAGATCTAGTTTATTCTAGGAGACATTCACACACACTTAATCGTTCGCTAAGAGATTAGTAGCGATTAAGGGGCCGTAAGCTCGCTCGTCTTGGCAATAATTTAGGATCTTGTCGCATGAGAGATCAGCCTGGTCCCCTAAATTATTGTACTCTACGCCGCGAGAGCGGTAAGAACTTAGTAATGATTAGCTAGGCTCAATTAAATTAATTTCATGTAATTAAGCCTGATCTGCCAGAAATCTGGTTACCCTGGAATCAATCCCTATTCCCTTCGTCATTAATTAGAGAGAAACCAATCTTTTTATTTTATTGCTCATTAGCATTAGTTTAATTTTCCACCCAATCAAATCTCGCACGACGCATTTATTTTATTTCTTTTTAATCGCTGAATTTAATTAATTCTTGATTCCCCTTTGTCCGTCCCTGTGGAGACGATACTCGTACTTACACCACTATATTACAATCTTTTTAAGTGCGAGAAAACACACATCACATAACTAGGTGGACCCGCCCCGCGCCGTGACCCGCACGAGGTCATTAGATGTTGCCCCATAACTTGTCTGCCCCGCAGTAATCTAGTAGCTATTACACATTACTAATTGTGTGAAATAATTACTCCAAGTATAAAAAACAAATATAATAAATCAAAGTAACAATACAATAAAAAGGTTAAAATATAAAACGATTTAGACTTGAATAATTAACTCTTTTTTAATGAATAAATGAATATATAAAGGCTAAATATAAAAAACACATTGACCATTAACTTTTCATCTAGTTCAAAATGTAAATTTTTTATTCAAAATGTAAATATTAATATATTAAAAGATCAAGTAATTCATGAATTATTAATCCCCCCACACATATATGTATATGTGTATGTATATGTGTGTTTAATTTGTAGTATAATTTTAAAAAATGACATATATTTATATAGGGAGCGGTTCCGGTAAGAACGGACTCTTATGAGAGAGAAAGGGACGAATCTGGATCGTTGGATTGTATTATGTGGAACCAAATTGTGCATTTGGTAAAACTGGAATGTGTATTAAATGATATTGAAATGTGCAAAATAAAAATTTAAACTCAAGTGTGCATTAGATGAAACTGAAATGTGCGAAATAAAAGGTACAAAAATAACATGACATCGTATTTTTTATTCTGCACATTTCAGTTTCACCTAGTGCACATTTCAATTTCACGTAATGCACAATTCAACTTCACATAATGTCACTGTATTGTACCATTTGTGATGCACATTTCAATTTCACCTAATGCACATTACAGTTTCATCTAATGCACACTGAATTTCACTTAAAGCAAATCTAACGGTCCAGGTTTATTCTCATTTCTCTCATAAGATCGTGTTCTTATTTGAAACAAAACCTATTTATATATTGAGCGGGTCAGAGTGGGGCGAGGCGAGGTGACACGGATCAATACTAGTATCTGGACTCGTCCCATTGTATGCACGGAGCGGGCAGACCCGACCCATTTTCAAGATAGGGCGGGGCGGACCCGCCCCACATGCCTCGCGGTAGGGCGGGTCTCTACGGGCCGGGGTTTTAGACATGCCTAGTCCTCACTTTAGATATTTTTAATTAGACTGGTTTGAATTCCAAATTATAACAGATCGGACTTAAATAATCCAGACTAGATCAAATCAAATCAAATTCTTGGATTCCAAGAGTTATAAAAAACAAAACATACCCTTCATAGAAGCTCTCAGTCCGCCACTACACACACTTGAGCGTCTATATTCTATAATCTACTCGACTACTCCCCATAATTCCATAAACAAGCCCAATCATCGATCTAAAACCAATTTTCTCGGCCAAATGAGGACTAAAACCAGCTCTTAGGAGATAGTACGTTAATGTTAAAAGGGATGCGTACGTAAAAATCAGCTGCTACCTAGTTTCTTTTTCTTTAAGGTAAAGATCCTACTAGCTCTAAGCTATCGGATCTGTCTGATTGAACACATCCATCAACTCCATCCATTTTTTGGGATAGATAACGACATCTTCTTCTTCTTCTTCAATTCTTGACTAACTTAGCTTGAGTATATGGTGGATTTCCAAAGCCTCTACGTCAGTCAACTATCAATATCCTTTACGAAGTCATAAATTACAGAAGATAGTGTCTTTATCAACGTAATTTGGCTTACAAGGATATATATCCCTAGTGCATATATGCCCATTGGCCATTGAGGAACTTCCCTTTCTGTTTACCTAATCAATATTTTACTCAAATATTATGCACGTAATTCACCCTCTCCTCTCCATCCTCTTAACAAACTGATAATCACAATGTGCCTGCAAGTAACAGTGACCCTTTCATCTCATTACTGCATTCCTCGGTTCTATAAGAACATGCTCACATTTCTTCTTTTCGATCATTAGTTACCACATTCATATATATCAACTACCAAAGTACATTTCATTTGTGTACTGTCTTCATAAATGGCAAGTAGAAGCGGCCTCTCACTTGCGTTCTTCGTGGTTCTCCGTCTTCTTCTCCGTCTTCCTGCCGCTAAGGCTATCACTAAGACCTACCAATTTGATGTGAGTTGAGTTCACAGGTCTTATAATAAATACTTTTGCATTGGTCCATGGTTTTCTTTTCATTACTACGTACTCATATTGTTAACGTAATTCTTTTATATTATTTGAGTTTTTGTACACCATATGAAATCATAATCATATTTCAAACTTGACCGTTCAGTATTTTTTGAGAAAACGATCAAATTATAACGCTATAGTTACTTGGTAATCTCATATCTGACACTGCGATTTCAAATGAATCAAATTGAACACTACGATTATATTGGAATCCCCCATTAGTCATCAACGTTTCAACTGAACCAAATAAGCACAAATTTAACTTTTTCCTTAATTTATGAACACCAAGCAAAGGTTTTTCATTTTCAGTCATTGAAAATCGTTAATACTCTCCTTCCTTTATGTTCTATACCTAAAAATAACATAATTGATGTATTTAGATTTAGAATGTATTATTATACGTTCCAATTAAGAAAATCTCATAAATATAATAATATAACTAGATTTTTATTAATTTCGCTAACTCTTAATGATTTGACATTTTCCAAAGTTCCATAAAGATCGTGTGAAATGAAAAACCCAAAATATATTTTCAACTTCTTAAATATGAAATGTCCTTAATTAAATTATCCATTATATATTCTTAAATACATCAATTAAGATAGTTTATTAACATTATAAAAGAAAGAAAAAATCGTGCTAACGATTTCTATTGCCAAAGGAAGACAATCGTGAGTGCCCAGCCCAAAATGACGAAAAATCGTTAGAATTGTGTTTTTTTATCATCTGAAGCAATAGTGATCAATATAAGATTCACATGTACCTCTAGTGTCTAATTTGATCACCATGAAACTTTAGTGACTAATATGAGATTCTCATATAACCGTAATATTCAATTTGGTCATTTTTTTATATTTTTTTAGTACTACCTCCGTTCTCTTTTAATTGCAACATTGGACGTTTTGCACTATTCACATATTCTACTTTGACTATATTTTATTTATTAATGTATTATAAATTAAATTTTGAAAAAATATTATTAAATTCTTCTCATTCTAAATTTTCAAAATATGAATTTGTTAATTTTTTTTACAAATAAGGAACGAAAGATATTAATGGTCAAACTTGTGCGTTGGCAAACGTGAATGTTGACTGTTGCAATTAAAAGGGAACGGAGAAGTATAATTTATAAATGCATAATTCTCATGAATAGTTCTAATAAGCTAGTTGAAACATTATTACCAATAAATTAACTTTATGAATATTTTCACTTGGAGTGATTTCAGTTTCAAAGCAGACCAAACTAGACAAGTCCAAACTAATCACAACAAGAAGATATTTTAAAAATACAACATCTTCAACTCCAAGATAAATCCTACCTTCTAGCTTTTGTATTATTTAAAAAGTTTATATACACTTCTAGTTGTATGTTTGGCACGGTAATAATTAACAGCCTTTTTAAAAACAAAATCCTTTCGAGATGCTACACTGAGTAACTTCTAATGGGAAGTCTGTAGCTTTTAACACTAATTAGTCGATTGTTATATAAAACGGAACTAAATCAAACAGTCAATTTTTTATCAAACAGCTACAGTTTTTCTTCTAACATTTTTTCGGTCTTTAAAAACTAACAATGACTAAAAAGACACTCCAAAAATGTTCCAGTTATTTGTGTCAAATACTCCGTATAACTTTAAATAGATCGGGCTTAGGTGAAAAGACATACTCCGTATGTAACATAATACGTACCTTTTAGTGCCAGCTAGTAGGTAGCAACGTGCGAGATATCGATATATAGGTTCTTGTGACTTAGGATGTTTTCTTTTGGACTGTTTTCAGTCCCAGACCAGACCAGACCAGACTTAAACAGACCAGACCAGACCAGACCAGACTTAAACAGACCAGACCAGACTTAAACAGACCAGACCAGACCAGACTTCCGTAATTATAAAATACACAGAGACCAGACGTTTACCAGACCAGACCAGTTCAGACCAGACCAGACTTAAACAGACCAGACCAGACTTAAACAGACCAGACCAGACCAGACCAGACCAGCAAATTTCAGTCCAAAAGAAAACATCCTTAAATGGATCAAAAGAAGAAAACTTTGACCATATTTATTACAGTAATTCATATTTACTCATGTAGTTAAGTCATGTGTAAGAAGTAGTATCGTATGAGATCTTGTTAAGTTCAACTCAAAATGTAATTTAATTCAAATCATCGCCGTCACATAAATTTAATGATATGTATTTAATTTAAATGCATGAACGGATGAACCCTAAATCAGGTAATACCTTCAACAACTTTTATGGAATTATCTTAATGTATTGATACCTTAAAAATAGTGTAATTTTTAAATTTAAAAAATGTTTTTTGGGAGAAAAAAATCATACCACGACATTTCGATATTGTTATTACTATGAATATAACAGTCGATTAAAATATGCATTTTTTATAATTAAGGAAAATAATTTAAATACCTCAAACTTTAAAAAAGGTGTGAGGTAAGCACCTAGAGATGGCAATTGTGACCGAACCGATGGATACCCGCACTGAACTGCCCCGGTCAAAACGGGGAAAACCGCATTGACTCAGTAGCGGGTACGGGGCGGGGAATACCCGTTTTGTTTTTAAAGACAATGGGGCGGTTACGGTTTTATACATGTTTGCCCCGTACCTGCCCCGATTATTTTTAGTTATATTTTATTACACTTTTATCTATTATTTGTCCCACAACTATTAAAAGATGAGATTTTTCTCTTTTCATAATGTATATATAGATTATAGATGTACTAACTATAATGTATGAATGAAAGTTCTTAATAGATTTTAATAGTCTTGTTTGATCATTATCATATTGTTTTCGTGATTAATTATTTTTTAGATTAAGTATTTTTAGGTCAAATTAATTTAAGTTGCTTCCTTTCTCATTTTGTAGAGATATGGATTTTTAAAGTGACAACGTCTAAAGCCTAGAGTCATCTAGGCAATGCCATTTTTCACCTTTTAAAATATTATTTTTATATCAAAAATTTAATGACTCATTTAATAAAGCAGTTACCCGCGGTTATCCGAAAGTTTACCCGTTACCCGTTGGGGCGGTTATGGTTTGAATAAAAATTACCCAATGGGTAATGGGGCGGTTACGGGGCGAGGAAATTATCCAACAGGGCGGATACGATTATATGTAAAACCGTCCCTGATCCACCCCATTGCCATCCCTATAAGCACCCCAAATTTGTACACGTGATAAAAATACAACGGTGTTTATATAAAATTTATCTTCACGCCATCATAATATGTTTTTTCTTTCATAAATGTAAATTCGTAGTGTTATAATATACGTAGTATATTTTAAAATACCTTGATCATTTATAAGGATGAAATTATTATCTAAGCTTCAATATTTTAAATAAATAAAATTAACACATAACTCTATAATATTAATTGCACACTAAAAATGATTAGAATATTTAAATTATTTACTTAACACTATTGATCAACTTTGTATATAAAGTTCGGATACTTATATTAGTTTTGCAAATTTAAGATGCTTACTTTACATCCTTCAAATCTTCGGGGTACTTAAATTATTTACCGCATTATAATTCAGGCAGTCAGCTCATATGACGATTGCAAATCGCTGGGATCAAGTTTCAGCACATTCAATCCATTAAACATATTTTTGCTCCTCAAAAGAGGCTTTAATTGTTACGTAGTATTTCAATTATTGAAACACTGCAAATCCGTAGGGGGTAAAAATCAAGATTTGAAAATGAAATGGTCAAAACTCAAAACCATAATTTTGTTATTATTTGCAGATTCAAGTGAATAATGTGAGCAGGCTATGCCATGCCAAACCTATCGTGACAGTAAATGGGATGTTCCCAGGGCCTACCATTTATGCAAGAGAAGGGGACAGACTTCTTATCAATGTCACAAACCATGCACAATATAACATTTCCATCCACTGGTATACAACATAAGATGAAGACTCAATTCATTGTGTATGTGTAAAAAAACAGTCATTTTCTAAAACTGGGTTCTTACAGGCACGGGGTGAAACAGTACCGCAACGGTTGGGCAGATGGACCGGCTTACGTAACACAATGCCCGATCAAGACGGGGAATAGCTATGTCCACGACTTCAATGTTACAGGCCAGAGAGGAACCTTGTGGTGGCATGCCCATATTCTTTGGCTAAGGGCAACCGTCTATGGTGCAATCGTGATCATGCCAAAACAAGGAACCCCTTTCCCTTTCCCTCAACCTGATAGAGAAGAAGTTATTGTGCTCGGTCAGTGACCCCTTCATCTTTTACTCTCTCCTTTAAAAAAGGGTGGTTGCAATGTCCCCAAAAATAGCAGTCTGACTAAGCTAGAAGCAGCTAAATGTTCATGTAAATACTTAATGTGCTTATAATGAATAGCCAGGAAAAAGGCCATGACAAGTCACACGTGATGAATTCTTTTTTTTTTAACCAGCAGCTTAATTTTAAAAACATAAGTATAAATTTTGATTACCAACAGTTGTGCCACCATAAATAAAAAGGTTGTTATAGTCGCATAGGACTCTTTTTGGGATGGATGTAGTACTACACATAGAATCAGCAGAAACGTGACTCACTTTTTCAGACCTAGGAGATAGTAATAATCTGTGCTCAAAATATCATATGATCGACAAGTGTTCATACCACATGCTGCTTTGTGTTGTTAACTACACAGGAGAATGGTGGAACGCAGATGTTGAAGCAGTGGAGAATCAAGGGAACAAAATGGGGTTACCCCCAAATATGTCTGATGCTCACACGATCAACGGAAAGCCCGGACCTCTGTTTCCATGTTCTGAGAAACGTATGTAAGCATTATAGAGTGAAGCAACTTTTTCCATGGGGTAGGGGAGATAAATAGTAAACTTAAACTCAGAAACTCACATCATGTGTCCTTTATACCCAAAAACACTGAGCTATAATTCTTAACTTATAGACTAGGAATGTAATCATCATTCTTCTGAATACAAAAATTTCCACTGCAGTCCCATGATTATTTGGTCATCTTTTCATCATTGCTCTTCAAATTTCTTTTTTTTTAATTTGTACGACTTATTTGGTCGACTACCATACAACTTTAGGATGAATTTTGCCAGGAAAGTGACCAAAAAGGAAAAAATTGCTATAAATTCATAGTCGTGCACCAAAAGAGGAGCGCAGTGTCTCAGTGATCAAATTAAGAATGAGCAATCTAATAGTTATGGCCTATGGAACTAAAAGTGAAAAGTATTCTTCTAAAAAAACCACCTGGTCAACACCTAAGCATTATACTTCCATTAGTTTCTTATGTTTATGTTCAAAGATGAAGCTTTGACCCTCATTTTATATTTTCAAACCCCAACTACTAATATACAATATTTCTGGCTCCCCAACTGGTGGTTAGTGCTTGTTTAGAACAGTGGGCATTGCCCATATTGGAAATCAGGTTTCCAACAACTACAGCCATACACATTTTCTTTTATGGTGTGTATGTGGACAGATACATATGCAATGGAGGTTGAGCAAGGGAAAACATACCTTTTGAGGATAGTCAATGCTGCCCTAAATGATGAACTCTTGTTTGCACTATCCGACCACAACATGACAGTGGTAGAAATAGACGCAGTCTACACTAAACCCTTCTCAACAAACGCCATACTCATCGCCCCGGGCCAGACAACAAATGTTCTCGTCCACGCCAATCAAATCCCAGGCAGGTATTTCATGGCTGCCCGGCCCTTCATGGATGTTCCAATAATTGCAGTAGACAACAAAAGCGCCACCGCCATATTCCAATACAAAGGCATTCCAAACACAGTCGTTCCAAAACTCCCTCTCCTGCCCGCCCCCAACGATAGCGTTTTTACCACAGCTTTCAACAGCAAGCTTAGAAGCTTAAACACTAAAAACTTCCCCGCAAAAGTTCCCTTAAAAGTGGATAGAAATATGTTTTTGACAATCGGTATGGGAGCAAATCCTTGCCCGACCTGCTTCAACAGTTCTAGGTTGACAGCTTCTTTGAACAATATTTCATTTGTGATGCCCAAAACAGCCCTTCTCCAAGCCCACTACTTTGATATGAAGGGCGTGTACACCATGGATTTCCCAGACAAACCGCCAACTCCATTTAACTACACCGGTGCACCATCAACGGCAAATCTCAAAATGGTTCACGGGACGAGGGTTAGTAAGATTGCCTTCAACTCCACTATTGAGTTGGTTTTGCAAGACACTAATCTTCTGACAGTTGAATCACACCCTTTCCATCTCCATGGCTATAATTTCTTTGTTGTGGGAACTGGTATTGGGAATTTTGATCCTGTTAAGGATCCTAAAAAATATAACCTTATTGATCCTCCAGAAAGAAACACTGTTGGTGTTCCCACGGGTGGTTGGACCGCTATTCGATTCAGAGCTGACAATCCAGGTATCCCAATAATCCTCAAGAGTTAATAGCTGATTTAGTTCCTGGACTATACACTAAAAATGTAAGCTTGGTACATATTTCTTTGAGGGTATCCACATTACATAGTTAAGGCTCATTTGAGCCTTGAATTGGGTCTAGACTAGGTCAACAAAAGAAAAATCCCTTCATTAATATATGTGTGTGTGTGAGGACTAAATTGGATTCTAACCGATCTCAAACTCTTTTGGGACCAAGGCTTGGATGTTGTTGTGAGGACTAAAATGGTCCAAGTTTTATGGTCGAGGACCAAATTGAGTCCCAAAAAAGTTGAGTTTGAAATTGAGTAATATTCCTTAGTGTATAGTCATCTAAATCGGGTATTAAGTATTAACTCAATGATAAACTATGGAAAGCTATGAAACAAGGAAACTCTCGGGAAACAGTGTGTTTATGTTTCCGAAACTCCACGGAAACTCTTTGGAACTCTCCAAACATGTTTTTCTATTAAAAGATGGTGTTCCTCATTTCCCGTTTCCCCATGTTTCCGTGCAACGTAGCATGAAATTGTTAGTTCTTGATTTTACGTTGTGGAATATATGTGCAGGGGTGTGGTTTTTCCACTGTCACTTGGAGATACACACAAGTTGGGGGCTGAAAACAGCATTTGTAGTGGAAGATGGACCGGGTTCAGATCAAAAGGTTCTGCCACCGCCAAAGGATCTTCCACTGTGCTAATGATAAAACAAAAACACCTTATGTACGCCGCATCATGAAAAAAAATTACACAAGGCATCTTGATTCTTGAGGTTGAAGATCCCCAAATTTGAGACAAATATATCAAAGGTTATTATGCATGTATGCAGGAACATTGTGAAAAAACAATGTATTTAATTTGTAATTAACTTCAAAGTGTAATAAAAGCCCCAAAATGAAAAGCAATTGTTTTCATCTTTTGATTTCAAATTTATAAATTGGTAAATGTGGAGAATCGTAACGGTTACCTGGGTTTAAATCTAGTATATAGGTGTGAGACAAACCTTCTCAAAATTTAAGTAATGTGTTATCCTATGGTAATAGAAACCTGTTGAGAACAGAAAAATAAAAAAAATCAACGGGGTAAACCGTTGCCCAGATAATCAACGATAAAAATACCGTTGCCCAGAGCCAAAAGGCTAAAACCAACTTTATTCCCAGATAACAAGAATGAACCCTAGCGAGGGGTATAAATAGCCTTCTAAGAGAAACCCTAATCAAGCCCAAATTAATCAAATCCTAATTAAACCCATTCTAACTCTACTAAGTATTCTACTAATAATAGGCCCAAACTAAAACATAATATTTTAACTATAATAAATAAAACTATAACGACAGCCCATAATCGGCCCACGGAAGTGGGCCCAAGCCCGTTCCTGTCCCATGCTCTTCCTGCTCTCTATCAATCGATCCTCCTTCAAAATAACCTTGTCCTCAAGGTTGAAATCTCGCAGATTGAGGACTGAAATTTCCATCCATAGAATATACTGGAAAATATCCTTCATCTCCTTCTTCAATCCTTTCCTGGCCGGTAATTTCAAAGTAATCATGCTGTTGGAGGTCCAACACTCCAACTCCTCATCCTCCTCAACTATCATTACCCACAACTGCTTAAAGGGGCAGTCATGCCCTGGTGTAAATGGTTTCTTACACTTAAAGCATAATCCTTTCGCCCTCAATTCTGCCAACTCCCGTGGCAGAAGACGAGTGAACTGAGAGTGTGTCATAGACTGTCCGCCTGACCATACAGCCCTGACTTTGTCCCCGGGGGCTGTCCACTATCCTTCGGAAAGTTGTCACTCGATCCCTGTAAGCTGTAAGCTGCCACCACTGGCAGTCTACGGAGGTCCCGTGTTTGCTATTAAAAAGCTGCTGGAGCGTACCCCTGAAGGATTACAATTCAGGCTGCCACTTAGTCCACTTTGGATGGACAGATTATGCTCCACATCGCGAGCTAATTCCATGGCGGCATGGCCGTCTCCAGGTTATCCGTCCGTAAATCCATAATAAACGCAACAAACTTCGGATTGCTTCCTTAAGTCCACTCATGTAATAGCCCAAATAATGATTGTCGGTCAATCTCGGAACTTGGCTAGCCAGTTGAACAAACAAGGTATTTTATTCCTCCACCGACCCAATTTGTTTGACACCTGACAGCCGTTCAAACTTGTTTCCCTGATATCGGGAATCAAATCTGGCCCCCAGGGGCTTGCTTAAATTCCTCCCAAGACATGCCGGGTTTGCGCGCCTTCAACCAAGTCACCCAATAGAGGGCAGCCCCTTCCATATAAACCCTAGCCGCTGCAACTTGTCTGTCCGGTGGGGTCCTGTTGAGCTCGAACTGCTACTCCACTCTCGCCAACCACCCGATTGGGTCTTCACCGTCAAATGAAGGAAGAAGGGCAGATGTCGCGTTGCGCAGACCTCCATCAACGGAGGGTGTAGTCGCGACATGAATAGACGAGTCGCTTTCGGTGGTCGCGGTCGGCAATTTATCCGGCGGCACCATGGCCTTCGCGATTGCCGCCAGTGAAGCCGTAATTTTCGCGAGCTGGGCTCCATGTTCTTCCAGCTTCACTCCCTGCGCATCAAGCTTCTGGTTAATTAGGGTTTGTTCAGCCTCCAGTTATGTAAAACGATCGTTCTTAGTTCTCGTCATCTTTGCTGGTTCGAATCTGACAGGTCGGACTAATTGCTGAGAACAGAAAAATAAAAAAATCGACGGGGTAAACCGTTGCCCAGATAATCAACGATAAAAATACCGTTGCCCAGAGCCAAAAGGCAAAACCAACTTTATTCCTAGATAACAAGAATGAACCCTGGCGAGGGGTATAAATAGCCTTCTAAGAGAAACCCTAATCAAGCCCAAATTAATCAAATCCTAATTAAACCCATACTAACTCTACTAAGTATTCTACTAATAATAGGCCCAAACTAAAACATAACATTAATTTAACTCTAATAAATAAAACTATAACGACAGCCCATAACCGGCACACGGAAGTGGGCCCAAGCCCGTTCCCGCCCCATGCTCTTCCTGCTCTCTATTAAAACCTTAGGGAGTTAGAACATGTTATTTTCCTATATAAGCAATGTATCGATCTAAGTCACAGGATGTCTATTACCGTGCTTTAACAGTTTACTTATACTCTATTTATTTATTTTTATCAAAATTTGGTCCAGTGGCGGGTTTTGTGCCACATGTCCATTTGATGGTTTGGGCCTTTGGGGCAACCTGTTAGGTGTCATCTGTTTGGACCCATTTGTCCATCTATTTACTTGTCTAATTTGGCTTCATCTGAGGGGTGTGTCAAGTATCCCACGTTGGTTGTCTATTGGGGTTGAGCCTAGTATACAAGTATGATGTAAGCTTCTCTCAGGGATCATTTGGACATGAGCTATACTGAATACAATAATAGGACATCATGTTATATCTCATGGGGGGAGCACTGTAGAAACTACCCACATTAAAATCTTACGTATATATCAAGAGAAACAAGGACTGAGCAAAAAATGTAAAAGAAGTCTAGTTACACATTTATGATTTGAAACAAAATAAAGTAACAAGCATAACCATCCATTCCACCACTATAATTGGGAAGGCAACAGAATGTCTAATAAGTGATAACACACAATTCACCTTGAGAACAATACAACTTTATATCTAACCATCTGTATGAGTTAACCTGAGCTTCTTGGCTTCTACTTCTCTTAAAGCAGTGGAACTCAGTTTGTCTAAACTCGATTCTTTGAAGAGCAAATCCACAACTTCAATCTGCACAAAAAACTCAAAAGAAAGATTTAAAAAGTAAATATTAAATGGAAACTAAACGATATAATAATGTCTCTATATATAGAATAGCCCCATAGATCAGACCTTGAGTTGTGAGAGACCTCTCTCGGTCCTCTTCTTATTGACAGAGAAACCTCCGGGTAGTGTCTCCTTGCTAATCACAAAAACACCCATAGCCATGATTTTATGAATTGCAGTGCATGACTAGGTAAATTAAGAGCCACAGAAGAAGAATACTCCCTCTGCCTGTCCCCCTCCCTCCCCACAGAACAATATGTTCCAACTTCAAAAGGTGGTTTTGTAACCAAAAAAGGTCCTATTTCATCAAGTGAAGCTAATTTTTCATGTAATTCTAAACAACAATTAAATATGATAAATTTCGTTTAAAAAAAACAATTTTAAAATGTATGTACGTTTCTATAATATCTATGAGTTTACGGTTTACCTTTAAATAGTATAAAATTGTACCTCAACCAAAAGCAATGTTTGCTTTGCTTTGCGACAAAACATTGCTTTTGGTTGAGGTACAATTTTATACTACCTCCGTCCCCCTAAGTTTGGGACAAGAGAAGGTGGCACGATTATTAATAAAAATGGGTTTATGTTGTTGATATTGAATTGATAAAGTAAGAATAAAGTAAGAATGATTTAGAACCACACAAATTTTACCAAATAAGGTATGAGACAATCTTAGTTAGACGGACCGAAAAGGTAAAATGGGACAATCATAGCGGGATGGAGGGAGTACTATTTAAAGGTAAACCGTAAACTCATAGATATTATAGAAACGTACATACATTTTAAAAAGCAATGTTTAAAAAGATGCTTTCAAAAGCTTTAAAGAACTTTTGCCATAAATAAAATCAGAAATAGTTGTTCAAATGAGAAAAACAGAGAAGAAATGTTTGGAGATATTCTAGAGTCTAGACAATCGGAAGGAAAAGGAAAAATTAATGTTGTTATTTTACTTATGTTGCTATTGCTAGAATAAAAAGGAGAAACATAGCTGTAACCAATAACCATTGACTTCATTGAGCATTGCAATGAAGAGAATAGTGATAGTAGTGCTGCTACTTTGGAAGAAATGTTCTCATGCAGGACTGGCGAGTAGTTTGCGAGTTACGTAAAATAATAAACTTTATAAGTAGAGCTTGTGAAGATTATTGTAGATTTCCGCAAATAGGTCTTAGGGATTTAAGAAAAACTGGCTAAATTCATCAAAAGAGAAACATATAATTGCACATATATGTAGATTGTAAATTTACCAAAGAACAAAGAAAGGGTAGAAAATGTAGATCAAATAAAATATTTTATCAAAGAACCTGACTACAATAGCCTCCAAATTCTCATCAATGACTGAAGGACCATAAGGATCAACAATTGGTTCGACTTGTACAACCAGCTCAGGCTTGATGCTCTAGACAAAAAAATGTGTGAATGAACAAAAAGAACCACGTCATAAAACAGTTTATAATTGACGATGAAGATAAAAGCCCATTGGTAACCCATGTTTTCGTCTTATAAGCATTATCTGCTAACTTTTTTATCAAACACGCAACTTTTATTTCACGCGTTGAATTATGTAATAGTCAAAAGCAGTAAGTTTGGAGTTATTTTTCTGTCTGAATATGGTGAAGAGGATTATTTTAGCTATTTGTTCGTATAATTTATTCTTTATTTTTTAATTAAATATTTTTTTTTTCACAATTCAGCAAATTCAGTCAAATCAACTGCTTTAGACGGAATTCACAAATTTGAGCATATTGAACCACTTTAGTCAATTTTGGTGTTTCCAAAGGACTCTGAGTGACATTGCATCATCATTCTAAATATTATTGTAGAGTTCGAGTACCTTAATGTAGTCCTCAACATTTTGCATTCGTAATTGAATCGGCTCAATTAGATCGGCGTACTGCACAAAGAAAGCAGTTACACATGTCATTGCATTGATATATCTCCGATACAGTGAATAGAAAACATCAAAATACTGCACTCAGAGCATCTATACAAAGGCAGATCTTTTATTAAAACAATGCCAGCAAATAACTTTCATCTACTTAGCGTTACATTTCCACTGTAAATTACAAGTCATAATCACTATACAGAACCGTACAACGTTTTTGTTCAAAAGTTTCTATATCTTCACGCTCCTTTTCCTCCTACTTCTTACAATAAATAAATAAATAAATAAATAAATAAATAAATAAATAAATAAATAAATAAATAAATAAATAAATAAATAAATAAATAAATAAATAAATAAATAAATAAATAAATAAATAAATAAATAAATAAATAAATAAATAAATAAATAAATAAATAAATAAATAAATAAATAAATAAATAAATAAATAAATAATATCCCATCAACCCGAAGAGTTGAAAAATCATATACGTGCAAGATGTCACTCAATTATCCATTATCGAATAAAGGGATCACCTTTTGAAGGGTTTCCCTATCCAAAATATCTACACAATTTAAAAAAGTTAAGGGGCTGAAAAATGTATAAAAACTAGAGTAGAAGCATAAACTTTTAAATGTAGGTAATTTTTCTAACCCGCAGTTGATACATTACAAAAGAGTCTAAGAAGTCAAGAACATATAATAGCAGGAGTATGCGCCAAACAAATGGTTAAAAGAAACATAAAGCTGAGATCTTTATGGGCATTTCACAACACAACTTATCGAGCGTCTCTACTCCCTAACATTTACCAAATATGGAAGAAGCAAGAGTCATTAATTCATCCTTAGCAACATGGATTTAGAAAATATGACCTTCTTCTTTGTCAACATTGGGCCATCACAAACACCAACTACTATTCGCTCTCGCGACAACAGTGCTGCAGCCTATAGGACATATCATATTTAATTGCAAATCAACAAAGAAGAATTTTTGTAGAATCATATATATATATATATATATATATGCAAGATGTGCAGAAAGAATCGAATGTGGGTGTCAGTGAACCTTGAGAAAGACGCGGTGGCCGTCGTGTAAGCGATCGAAAGTACCGCCGATGACAACCGCAGCGTATGAATTTGGCGGAGATGGGTCGTGTTGAGCGGCGGATTCCTCATCCATCACCTCCAATTCAGGGGTGTTTGGGAAATTAGATTATCTGTACATTCCACCAAAGTTATGATCAATGAATCTGAGCTAAGAAGATGTAGAGATCGAAAGCTCGAATATACCGATGCCTCTCTGTATGGTAAACAACTTGCAGACCAATTTGACTAGGGTGGGCAAAAATAACGAAACTGCATGATACCGAACCGGACCGGTATGGTACCGGACCGATAAACGGGATTTGAAACGGATCTCAAATTTTTTTGTCCCGAACCGGACCAAACCGGTTCCAAACAATGTCATGATTGGTTCTCATAAAATGAGAACCGGTACCGGACCGAACCGGACCGAAGTATGGTTTATTAAATTTATACTACTATAGTTTATCTAAAATATATTAATTACCTCATTCGTCCCAAATTGATTTGCAAAGCCAACATTGTTTTGTCAAAGTTAATGTTAAGTTCTTGATAATTAATACAATTTTTAATGATTAAAATTTACATATTTAGAAATCACATTAAAATCTCTCTAAAGTTGCAAAATCCAAATTAAAATATACGAAGTACGGAGTAGTTTTTTTGAAAGGCCAAATTAGAATATAATTAAAAGGTAAAATTCTAATTAAGTGAATAAAAGAAATTGTTTGACCAAAAAAGATTGACTTTGCAAATCAATTTGGAACGAAGGTAGTATGATATATGAAAATTGATAAATTGTGTGGATTTTTTGGAGGATGGCTAAACTTTAATTTTTTCTTAAACACTTGGAAAAAGTGGCATTGTTTGGTATTGGTATGGCATGGTACCATCCCGTTTGAAAATGAACCGTACCGAACGGGTTTGGGTCTAAGACCGAACCGTACCGAACCGGACCATGCCCACCCCTAAATTTGACTGATTTTACTCAAAGTTATTAAGTTATGACTGAAGTGGTTGTATTACCTGATTCTGCTGATTAAGAAAAAATTATTTTTAAAATATATGGAGTATATTATTAATAAAATAAAGAAAAGTTCAACCAATACAGCCGGAAAAATTCAATCAACCTTACTTTTTCTGCTTATTACATAATTCAGCGCGCGAAAACAAAAGTCACATATTTAGTGAAAAAGTTGACTGATAAATCTAATAAGAGGAAAAAGAATGTTTACAAAATTTGTAAACACGAAATTGTAAGTAATTGTCAATGTAACAGCAATGCACATATGTCCTAACTCCTAACTAAGAATGTTTCAAATTATACTCCCTACTGAGTATATCATTATTTAAATTGGGAACAAGAAATTTAGATTTTGATCTAATTAACAAAAAGAATCAGTCCAAAGAGAAGCAAAAAAGGAGAGAGAGTAAAAGTATCGAATTTGAAAAATTAGGTTAAAAATCTAAGAAGAAGTAAACATATCATCAATCAATTGATAAACCATAGGCTGATAAATTAAGCAAGGGATAACGAACCTGCTACTTTAATTCGCCTGGTAACAGAGTAGGAGCGAGCGGCTAGGGCAACAATAGGATTGGCACTTCAGCCGTTGGGCTCGACTGCTCGAGCGGTCGGAAGCTTGGCCACTGCAACTGAATAGCTGAGGTGGGAGCTTGGCGAGCCAGGAAATTACTTGCGATGTTGTACCGGAGTTGGCGGAGCGAACGGCCAGGGCGAAGTCAGCTTGGCCTTCTCTTCCGTTTCTGAGCCTAGCGTAGGGATGGTCGGCCTTCTCTTCCGTTTCGAAAGGCACGTCAATTTAATATCAATTTAATATTTTGAGAACTATCTATTGATAAGGGTTAGATATAGAACAGATATGAAAACATATTTATCTTAATTACAATAATTACTCCGAACCAGATTTAATTTTATGAAAATTATAAATATGACCCCATTTTTTCTTTTCATATGGGTTATATTTAAAGCAAATTAAGCAACCGTTATGGACTAATTTTGGATTTTACAAATTTGACCCACATGCCAATATCAAATTTGTATTATTTATAAATTGAACCCCGTTTTACTATTCAATAACAGTTAAATATTAACCCACGTTAAATCCTAGTTATGGAATGCATATTTTACACTAGTGAGTCATTTCGACAAACATGTTATGATCATAAATGTGAAATAGAATAATTGAACTAATATTTCAATTATTAACCCTACATTGTCTTACAATCATACAAAATATTCAATTACTCAATGTTATACCATACATTATTATACAAATAATCAGAAATTTTAAATAAAAAAAACCCTAAAGTGCATAGAAAAATCAAATAAATTACCACCTCAATTTATGGGCTGATGTGAGCTTCTAGTTCTAGATGACAATTTCATTCTCACCGTCTGTGTCGATTCCAGTAGCAAGCATATGGCTGATGGGTGAAACAAACAAATGAAATAGGAAGGTAGGAGAAAGAAGAAAGAGAGGGGAGGAGGTGAGATGGCGTAGGAGGGGATGTGGGAGAAAGGGAATGAGAAGTGAAAGGGTAAAAAAATTAAAAGAAGGTAAAAAAATCAGAGCCTTTTTATAGCGTGTACATGGGTGTGTACAAATGTGTATACAAGAAGCATTTTTGAAAAAAAAAAGATGATTGACTTAAAAAAACAAATTTGCTATTTGTACACATTCTAATATCCACCCTATACACACTATATATATCTAAAAAAATTACCCCTCCCCTTAGCTGCAAAGTTACCCACCAGGTCACTCCCTTCCTTCTCTCTCGTCACTCATCCTCACTCCCCTCCCCTTCCTCTCTCTTTTCTTTCTTCTTTCTCATGTACGCCATTTTTTTGTTCTTCTTTTTTCTTCTTCCTATTTTTTGGCCACATAAATAAAAGCTTATGCTCTTGTTTTTCCCTCGAGCAAATTTACTACCTTGCCATCTTCCTTAGATCTGCTACTTTGATGATTTTTTTTCTTGAAATTGAGTTCGTGTTGGGCGTTCGAAGGATAATCAAAGACAAAAAGTTCTGCATCCGGAAAGAATGGAAGCTCGGGTTTAAATTCGGGCCAGATTTCAATCCTAGATTTCAAAACCAGGGTAATTATCTACTCCATTTTTATGCTCATACAGGGTTATGATTTGTTTCAAATTTAGTAAATTATACATGCTATGACGTTGAATTATTGACTATTTTGTTTCATTGATATAGGTTTATGATGTAAACCTTTGAAATTTAAGTCCTATTGTATTTCAATTATATGCCCATTACATATTTGTTGAAATGTTTGAATGATTTTTTTCATATATTAGAAGTGTTTTGGTATGTGCTTTTATGTTTATTGGGGATTAGATTTTTATTTATTTATTTTTACAGTTTAAAGCATGATATATGTTTATTGTTGACTATTCATTTGTAAGTATCAATTGGATATCAAAACATTGGTCTCTAATCTTGTTGTTCATGCTTAATTTCTGAAAACAATATGAATGGGGCCATAATAATGATAAAACGCTATAAAGTGTAAAATGCTAAACTGAGGTATGTTTAAATCTCGAAAGATAGTTTTTAAGATCACTTCAACTTTGTTTAAAGCAGCTGGCTTATTTTTCAGCCCGTTCCACTCTGTTTTGAAGGACTTTTTAATCAAAAAGTTTAGATTACTTTGTGTTCAATGGCCAAACAAGTACGTAATTTGCACTGATCTTGAATTCTAAACTGCAACCAGGTGGTAGGATGGCCACCCATAAAAGCCAACTAAAAGCCAAATGATGAACAAGATGGAGCCGTGAGTTCAATTATGCAAAAAAAAGGAAAATGAAGTATGAGAATTGCAAGGGGGATTCTCCTAAATGCCTGGGATTTGTCAAGAATGTGGGTGGACTTCCAATTGGAAGAAAGGTGGATCTAAATGCTCACTACATGTCTGGAATTTCACTTGTTGCAAAAACCACTGTTGGTTGCTTCATCTCGAGTCTCGACTTGCAGAGTTGGATAAGAGGATAAATGCAATATTGTGCTATTAATTTTTGTAATTAGTTATATTGTGAGGTTAATGTTCTTGACAAATAGTGTAATTAAAGTTGTTTGTGCTTTCAAAGTTTATCTTTTGTATTATGAAAATGACTTTTGAATGATGTCAAAGAAATTGCAGTTGTGCTATTAATCCGAGTGTAATTACCGTAATGATTTTTAGCTTAAGAAGGTGATTCTCATATAGAAAGGATGTCTATGATGCTCACAAACAAAATAATTATTAATCTTAGATAAGCTTGTTGTCTTGCACAGAAAATATAAACGATCGCACAGACAATAAACTTAGCTTCTTTAAGTGAGTATTGTCTATGACCAGACGATTCATATCTGGTTCACAGACACTTCCACTTACCATATTAGCCCGCTCTAGTGGCTATCGTCTTTGACCAGACACTTCATATCTGGTTTACAGGCAATTCCACTTACCATATTATGGTATTGTAGTGGCTATTTTCCATGGCCAAACAATTCATATCTAGTTCACACACAATTCCACTTAACACATTAACACATTTCAATGGTTGTTGTCTATAAATATTGATAAATAACAAAAAAGATCAAAATTTTCATTCATTACTCAAATTGTTGTACAAAAGATTCTAAAATAACACCAGTTATATAAATTTAAAATATGCATTTTTACAATATGACAATTGTATTTGCAACAAGTCAGAGGTCCTTATTTCTCCAAACAGTATAAACAAACAATATAAATAAACACATAGGCGACTATTATAAGAATTAACATAATAGAGGTATACTAATAATTAATAAACTATACTAGTTATGTAATAGGTTAATTAATACATGCAGTTGCATTTTCTCCTGTTAAAATAACACTTTCTGTTAAAACTAGGAGACCTTAACTCTATTATAGTACAAGATATTTTGATAAAACGTTCGTGCCTAGTTCAGCCAGTTCGAAGTGCGCCCAACTATAAGTATGTCAATACTCTCTCTTTTCGACTCTAAGTCAACTTTGAAGGTGTCACCACATATCTTGCTCAAACTGTCCACCCGCGGCACATAGCTTCTCAAACCTCCTAAATAAGTGAAAAACATCCTGAATATGGAACCAATAAATCACATTTTAGTATTCCATTCTATTTGGTAGTGAAACTGTAATTGCCACAATGCACTAGTATGGCCTCATGAATCATAATATAATGCTAAGCACTTGCTGTATAAGAAAGTACTTTTGATTTTCTGCGATCCAATTATGAAAAGAGAAAACAAATGTAAGGTAATTGTAATTTATGTAGATAAAGAAAACTAATTATCTTAATGATCTTATTCTTCAGTTTGCTACATAAATGAGGAGGTTAAGCATTAACAAGTCTTATTTGATTGGTAGCTTCTCTTTTGACTCCAGGGTCGAGCCAAATCTAGCACCGACTACAAACTCCATCTAACAAATACAAGTACTACAAGTATAAGGAAACTCACAAGATAAAAGTAATAAAGGGAATTTCATTAAATCTCAAGTAATAAATTATATAAATGAAATATTAAATTAGTGGGACATTCATAACAGTTAGACATTCATACTACGTGATACAGATGTAGGCAATTTAAGCAAAACAACAAAAAGTGATACTAAAAAATGTATAGCATGCCTTATGAAATTTTAGGAGTTTCCTCAGTTTGACACAAGATAGACTTCAAGAAACAATTATTATAAAAATAGTTGAAACAGGAGGATATCTCATTCTTGACTCTAGGAGAAAAAAAGAATAAAACAGGCCAGTTGTTTTGATATCCAATTGACACTTACAAATAAAATAGTCATACATTAACATATACAGAGTATCAATGATGTCTCCCCACAACTCCAACATCTTCTCCTACATTCAAATTGGGAAACAGGAAAATTAGATTCTTGAACTAATTAACAAAAAAAGATCAGTCACAAAAAAGGAGAGTAAAAGTCTTGTATGTAAACAAAAAAATCATTTAGTAATTTCAACAAACATGTTATGAGCACAAATGTGAAATAGAGTAATTGAATTAAAATTTCAATAGTTAACCCTACATTCTCTTACAATAATACAAAATATAGAATATTGCCCAAAATCGGACTAAAAAGGTTTGAAAATTCCAAAATAGGACTGTCATGTTTTTATTATCAAAATAGGACTAATTACTGTCATGTTTTGGCAGTACCAGTCTTCAAACATGACAGTATTTTCCAAACTTGGCAGTAATTACTCCTATTTTGGGAATAAGAACATGACAATCATATTTTGGAATTTTCAAACTGGTTTAGTCCTATTTCGGGAACTTTCCCTACAAAATATTCAACTAATCAGTGTTATACCATACATTTTACACAAATAATCAGATATTTTAGATAAGGTAGATTCTATGGTACCCATAATGTACCATACTTTTGTCCACATGAACCAATCAAAATGATGCAATTGAATTATTTAAGTCTAAATTAAAAAGGATATGATGATTTGGACCAATCAAATGCATGGTAGGTACAGTACCCCATTTTTTAAATGAGTACCAGAGTTGTCACCTGTAAATAAACAAAACCCTAAAGTGCAATAGAAAAATCGAATAGGTTACTACCTCAATTTATGGGCTGGTTGATGGGGAAAAATTGACCGTCTCATTCTCGCCCCTTGAACTTATTCCATGTGCATACTCACCGCTTATGGGCTCGGACTTGAAGATAGGTGACCACCTACGTGTTTATTTCTAAAATTTGGGAATGGAGAAACGGAGTGGAACGAGAAGGAAGGAAAAAGAAGATAGAGAGGAGATGAGCGGAGAAAGGATGTGGCGTAGGAGAAGGGACGTGAGAGAAGGGAGTGGGAAGAGAAAGCATAAAAATGAAGGATCATTCTTGGTGTACACAAGATGTACACAAAATGTGTACATTGTCTGTGTACACAGGCAATTTGGCATCAACTCCTCCCCCTGTTTTAATGAATTGCCTGTGTACACAGGCAACTAGGGCGGTTTTGTGTACAACTAACATACACTAAGCATTTTCGAAAAATGAAATGGAGGTAAAAAAAATAAAACAAAGATGTGTACAAGGGTGTGTACTAATGCGTGTACAATAAGCATTTTTTAAAAAAAACTCTCCTATGCACGGCAAGAAAAACAAACAAAGTTACAAATGGAAAAGGCTAAAGGGTCAAATAGGCCCTTGAACTCACTTAAAGTATTCAATTAGCCCCTTATATAGGAGGTTCTGCCCGGTCGTCGCTAATTGGGGCGGTTCCCTGTAGAATTTTTTGATGAAATTTTTTGAACATCTTCTTCATTAAGTCTAGTTTACCCATACCAAATTTCAGCTAAAAATTCAACCGGGAAGGCAGTCAAATGATTTTCCGAAATGTACTGCGCTGTTTAACTTCGCAGTTATCTTTAAAAAATCATTTGTCCGCCTTCCCGGTTGAATATTTAGCTGAAATTTGGTATGAGTAAACTAGACTTAATGAAGAAGAAGATGCTCAAAAAATTTCATCAAAAAATTCCATCAGGAACCACTCCAATTGGCGAGTAGCAGAAAATTTTACATTGCCTATTTGACGCTTTAGGCGATGTAAAATGTGAAAAAGTGAGCGACCACTCACCCAAACGAGTTGACTCTGTACTCCCCAGTTCAGCTCACCTCTTTTTCCCCTCACTCCTCCTGGTATCCCCACTCTCCTCTTCCCCAAAATTCATTACATTTCCCAGCAATTTCTGGACCGGGTACCAGAGGAGTAACCGAAGAAGATGGGTTCGCTTGGCAGGGCAATCTACACCGTCGGATTCTGGATCCGGGAGACTGGTCAAGCCCTCGATCGCCTGGGCTGCCGCCTCCAGGGAAACTACTACTTCCATGAACAACGTACGCCACCCTGGGCACTCAAGTTTTCTTCTTTTTTTCCCCTCTTTTTTTTGATAACTTGGCATCTCAAAGTTAATTGGTATGTCGTTTCATCAATCTTCTAGGAAGTTGAAAAATTAGGGTTTATCTGTCTCATGACGGCACTTTTTACCGGATGTTAGTGAGTGTTTGTATACCGTGAGCTTATCATTCTTGGACACTCTAATCTTGTGTGGTGTTTTAAATAATTTGTGTTCAATTGTATTGGATATTTGAATTACTTTACTGATGCGAAGATGTGAGTTTCCAGCTCTGCATAATATCTAATTGCTGAATCTGTCTTCTTTTCTATCCAGTTTCTCGACACAGAACCCTTATGAACTTGTTCGATAAAGCTCCTACTGTTCATAAAGAAGCATTCGTAGCTCCTAGTGCTTCTTTAATTGGCGATGTTCAAGTTGGGCGCAGTTCCTCTATCTGGTATGGATGTGTTCTACGAGGTATGATTGAATTGTTACAATATCATGTTGTTAGGTGTAGATGTCAAATTGTCCTATCTTGGCCCTTCTTGAAATACATCATGCTTTTTTTGAATTGCTATAAGAGACTAAGAGTGTTGAGCTTGCTATTTGATTGTTGTACTTAAACATGGCACCTAGTGGTTTTTTCACTGGTTGAGCAATAAAGTGGTAAGGAACCAGTGAGGGGAACATACCTGTTTTTAGTTAAGATCTGCCTAGGACCACAATGGTTGGAAAGTAGTGTGGTACGAACTAGGAAGATAGTGGCGCCTAGTGATTGTAAAGAACCATAAGGAATGCTCTGATTGCTCTCATATGGTTCTGAGGTCATTTCAGTGAACTTATCAGTTTTACAGCTTGTAGAGAGAGAAATGCAATCTTTGGAAAATCTTATGGCCAAATTGGTTCATTGTGCCTTATAGTTGTAAGACAATCGGAAAACATGGCATGACTAAAAATTGGAAGTTTAGAGTAGGAGTTCCCAGGTGACCTGAATCTTACAAGTCAGGATTGGTCAATGACATCACTGTGCCTTTTCTTTGTTTGATTTACTCCTTCTGCGCCCATAATAGACAATCTTTAAGGTACAGTTTCTTAATCTTTGGTACAGTACAAGTCACATATTATCAATCCTACATTTTATAAAATTTATTTATTTCTTAACTAAATGTCGTCGTCATCATCATCACTACCCCAGTGCCGCAAAGGCTCCCACCTACGGTGGTCGGTGGGGTAAGGGGTGTCGGATGTACGCAGCCTTACCCCTGTACTAAAGCACAAAGAGCCTGTTTTCGGATGACCCATAGTGAAAATCGCATCGAAAATTGCATGAAATGAGTGATGCTTCATAACAAAGAATCCCAGACAGTTTAATGAGTCATTTTGCTTTATTCCATCATATTCCCAAGCAAAAAAAATAATGAGTCTTTTGCTTCATTGCAAATGATGCAAATGAGTCTTAACTAAATGTAACATACTTAATTTGTTTGGAAAGATTACATTCAATTCAATGAAGGTTGGTTTCTTTTATCAAACCAAGACTCATTTTTTGGGCAAAAATAGTTATCCAAGCAATAGTTTTTTTTGGACGGGATGCATTCATGTCAAGCTCTCAAGATGCATCTACATCACTGCATGTAAAATGTTTCCCACTTATTTGCAACTCATTTATTTTTCCATGGATTTTTTATTTCACTATTTCTCTAATCTCTACGATTATAAATATTTGTTGCAGGTGATGTGAACAATATAAGTATAGGGACAGGAACCAACATCCAGGACAATTCTCTTGTTCATGTAGCCAAATCCAATCTTGCTGGAAAGGTTTTGCCAACAATTATTGGGAACAATGTAACTGTTGGTCAGTGATTATAAGTTTACTATGTGTATTTTCTATGTCATTTTCTAGGAGAATTCCCCCACGAGGTATTGTATTGGTAACATATGAAGAATTCTAACTGTTTGACACCGAATTGTAAAAAAAGGTCATAGTGCTGTTCTGCACGGGTGCACTGTTGAAGATGAGGCATTTGTTGGTATGGGTGCAATATTGCTTGATGGGGTTGTTGTTGAGAAGAATGCCATGGTAGCTGCCGGTGCTCTTGTTAGACAGAACACTCGTATCCCTTGTGGAGAGGTTTAGTCCCTTTATTTTTTCCAATAGTCAACTCTTCTGGCATTTGACATAACAGTATTTGATTTGTAGAAATGGAAAGTTGAAGTCTAGTATTTGAACCACCTTTGATTAGTTTGTTAAAGTAGCAGTGACTGAACAATTGACTTATCCAAAAAGGGATTCTTTTTGTATAAGAGATTGCGCAAGTTCTTTCCACTAATAATATATCCAACTCACTGCATTTGTACTAAAATAAGGCACCTCTTTCCTTTCAAGGGAAGAATGACACAACTCATATCATTTCCTTCTCCTTTAGATAAATCTCAATCACACAATTTCAAATTTCTTTATGAGTCTGTTAAGTAAAACCAAGAACCTCATTTTGGGACAAATTGAGTTAGCTGACAATGTGACAAACATGCCCCTTTCTGTGTCTAGGTATTAAAGGTAGCAAACAAAAGTAAAATAGGTATGCAAGGGCAACTTGGTCATTTAACTAAGCTTTGTTTTTTTTAGTTTGCTAAATTTAGGAGTGAAACAAATCCTCTAGTTATTGATTGCTATTTGAAGTAGGAGAAAATTATTCTAGGTATGACTAAAAGTCCATCACTTTCCCAAACTGACCCTATTAATTGTTTTCCTATTCTAACATATCTATATCATGCATGCTGATCCCAATGTCAAGCATATTGATTCTTTTTTATTCAAAATGGTTGCTCTCTATCTTAAATATAGGAAGTGATTAATTCTTCCTATTTATCTGAAAGTGTTTTAGGTTATTAAGCCATGCACCCCCATGTATGTCATATTAAGCTGGTCATACTATACATGTAAAAACATCTATAGTCATATTTTAGGTAAAGCCATGAGTTTTACTAATATTTAGGTATTTTTCCCTTGAAGTAGCTCATGAAGTAATGATTTTTCTATAGAGAGGACTGCCCTCTCTCTTACAAAAAAGATGCCATTTACCAACATGTGATGTCTAAATTGATGGGACCGACACTTGGAAATTTTCAACTTTGTGTCCTGTCAATTTGAACCAAACCACACAATGGCACTTAGAAACCATACTCATCATAACAAAGCTATGGAGAGCACAGCCCTACAATGGAATGTCTCTATAAAGTAGTGTCAATTGACTACTTGCCTTGCTAGAAAGATGTTCAGAAGAGCTCATGTAAGAGTGCGCATAGGGGTTTTCATCTGAGATTAGCCCACTTGAACTTTTTGAAGTGACAGCATCATTTACCAACATCCCAGTGACCAAATAAAATTAATGTCTTTAAATCTTGGTACCTGTGCAGTTGTGCTTCTTATAGTAAATTCAATGGGGGTTTTATGAACGTGATGAAGGTTGTTTACATGATGTGCTTTGAATTTCTTGCTATCAAGCATAGGTATGGGGCGGAAATCCAGCAAAGTTCCTAAGGAAGCTTACCGAAGAAGAAACAGCTTTTATTTCTCAGTCAGCCCTCAATTACACCAACTTAGCACAAGTTCACGCAGCTGAAAATGCTAAGAGCTTTGATGAGATCGAATTCGAGAAGGTACTCCGGAAGAAATTTGCCCGCAAGGATGAAGAATATGATTCTATGCTGGGTGTCGTCCGCGAAACACCCACAGAACTTATCTTGCCTGATAATATTCTACCAGATAAGGCAGCATCAAAGGCTTCTTAAGTTTGTTGATTATGATCATGCTATCATTGTTGTTATATCACAAATTCGAAGGCAAATTAACCAAGAACTTGCCTTTGCTTTCATGTCTAATAATTTTATGGCCAAACTCACTTGTCAAAGACTGACTCTTCCCCATGTGCAGTTACTGCATGACTTTTACTATTTGCTTAACCACAAACATGGTTTTGCCACATTTCAAACATGTTTTTTTGAGTGTTTATTTCTTCAAAATAAGAACATGCAGAAGAATTTTCTTAAAAGGAGTAGATCGATTTCTATTTTGAGCTAATTCACACTTAGATTTGGAGTAGATCGTACCATACTGCATTTCATTGGTCCATGTCATTGTTTATTTCATCATTTATTTACATGTAATTACAGTTTTTTTTTGTAATTACATTTTTTTGTGATTACAAAGTTACAACTGCTATATTTTAATTGGTTAGTGTGGTATGGTTGAGGTATAGTTTATTTAATTTGATGTAAGATAAAATGAAAATAAAATGAAAATAAAATGTTCGAAATTTAAGTTGTGGTCTAAATGAACCTAGTCATGGACCCGGGCCGGGCTATGTTTTTGGGAAGGAAGAACCGGAACCGGTCCGGTAGGCAGCGGTTCCGCACTGTGACGGTTCATGTTATTTTTTTTAAATTTCTTTTGCTTTTCTAATTAACCCCTGACCCCCCCCTCACCCCCACCCCAAACCCCCCCAAACACCCAGACCAACCCGAGAGAAACCAAAAAAATTGAAAAAACCCAAAAAAAAAAAGAAATAGGCTGGGCCAGTTTCGGGCCGGTTCCACTTTTAGGAGGCCCGAGCCCATCCCGATTAATTCCGGGTTTGGGTGGCCTGGACCGGTACTATAACCGGGTACCGCCGTACCGGGCCGAGCCCAAACAGTATCGGTTTTAGGCTGGTTTTGGGCCGGGTGGCCCGACCCGAGTACATGACTAAATGAACCCCAATTTGATCTCAGACGAATACAATGAAAACAAAAGTTACTCGTATGTTGAAATTTATTTAGACACATGATAATTTTCTAAAACGAAAATAACGTAGAGTTTTAGAATGGACAAAAATAGAAAGTGTGGACATTTTGGGACTACTAGAGTAGGCATGGACCGGTTTTGGGTAGGCATGGACCGGTTCCGGGCCGGTCCAAACCGGGCTTTTATTTTTTGGGGGCGGGCTCGGAACCGGCCCCGTTTGCAATCGGGCCCGGGCTGGTCCGGGCCGGTTCATTTTTTTCTATTCTAATTAACCCCCACCCCCAAAACCCCCCCAAAACACCTAGCCCAACTCGGTAAAAACAAAAAATATTGAAAAAAACAAAAAAATTAAATAGGCCCGGACCAGGCCCGACCGGACTGGTTCCAAAGGAAGGGTAGGCCCGGAACCGGACCGCTCTAACACACCGGGCCGGTCCGCCCGGTTCCCAGTTCGGTTCACCGGGCCGGTCCTAGGCCCGGTTCCCAGGACGGTTCACCGGGCCGGTCCGATTCTAAACAGTACCGGGCACGGTCCGGACCCAGGTCGGGCGGCCCGGTTTCAGTCCATGGCTAGTTCCTGGCTGGTCCGGGCCGGTCCAAACCGGGATTTTATTTTTTGGGAGCGGGCCCGGAACCGGCCCGGTTTGCAACCGGGTCCGGGTAGGTCTCAGGCTTGTTCATTTGTTTTTGCTTTTCTAATTAACTCCCGACCCCCCACCCCCCAAACACGCCCAAAACACCTAGCCCAACCCGGAAAAAACAAAAAAATTGAAAAAAAAATTAATAGGCCCGAATCAGGCCCGGCCCGGCCGGTTCCAAAGGAAGGGTAGGCCCGGAATCGGACTGCTCTAACACACCGGGCCGGTCCTAGGCCTGGTTCCCAGGCCGGTTCACCAGGCCGGTCCGGGCCCGCACAGTGGCGGGTCAGGCCGGTTCCCGGGCCTGGCCGGCCGGAATCGGTCCATGCCTATACTAGAGTAGTATAATAGTCAAGTAAGGATGTTTTCTTTTTAGACTGTTTTCGGTCCCTGACCAGACTTCCGGAGTTATAAAATACACAGAGACCAGACGTTTATCTGACTAGTTCAAACCAGACCTGATGGAGTATATGGCCCAGGAACCCCCGGCCCATAGACTCCTACTTCTCCTACACAAGTCCATTGGGCCTAGAGAACATCTCAGGCCCAAATGCAACGGCCCAAACCTCAAAGAAGCCCAGAATACGCACTGGGGTGCCTTCGGCCTCCTTGGCCGAAGGCTCCAAAACTCACAGGATAGCCTTTTTTTGGGCATACAAAGCTACTGGGAGAAAACGGCGAAAAAGGAGCCTTCGGGATTATCGCGCCCTCGGCATCAAGAAGCCTTCGGCCACACCGAACCTTCGGCCACATGGAGCCCTCGGCTACTTAAAGGGTCTTCGGCCAAACACACTCAATCATCGAAGATTCCCTTTGGAGACAGCCAACCACCGCATTTAATGCGACGTCACATCCGCCAACCGCATTTAATGCGGTGAACATGCCACTGCCGGTGCCACCCCGATTGTTGCGACCCCTCGGCCGTTGGATTACTGACACGTGTACTCTCATCGCATTTATTGCTGCTATAAATAGCAGCCCATTTCTCCTTGTAAACGATCCCAGATCCCAGATCTCACACGCTGAGTTCATTTAATAAAATCGACTCTCTCTCCTCCTATTTACTCTGACTTCTCTCTAAGTTATTCCCGCAATAACCCCTCGGATAAGATACCCCCCGGGTAGACTGTCCATCAAGACCAGACTAGCAAATTTCAGTCCAAAAGAAAACATCCTAAGATAATACTCCCTCCATGGCTCCATACTATTGGACTTTACTAATTTTCTTTGTTTGTTTGTTCCAAAAAGCTATGCCACTTTCCTTTTAAGGTAATGAATTTATGATTCTGTTCATTTCCTTTTCCTCTATATAAACCTCAACCACATAGTTTTCATTATTCCAATTTCTTACTCAACATCAACTTGGCAAAGTTGATTAAGACAGAGGTAATAATAATCATTAACCAATATATGACATGTTTTCTTAATCCATTGTATGATTTAAGGGGTGTTTGAAATTGATGCTGCTTCTTCCCAAAAAAAATTGCCTCAATAAAATAATATGTACTTTTTAAAGGAGTAGTGCCTCTTGTCATTCAAATAATTCACATTAAAAAATATTTTTATCATTACAAAAACTTACTAGAAATTGGATAATGAACAGTTAAAACTTAAAACCAAACTATAGGATTAATGAGCAGAAAAGGGAAAAGAATTGACAGACACTCGACCTGCCGATTTGGCCCGCATATGTCAGCTAATCGGTTAGGCTGATCAACTTTTTATAATCAAAATGCCCTGGGTGTTGGGTCGCTTTCTAGAGTTCTAGAAAGCCATTTAAATTTTTAGACACTAATATACGAGTAAAATATACGGAGTAACTAAGATGCTAATACATGAGTTAATGTTATGGAATTCTATAAATATGAGTAATAATGTGTGATTAGACAAAAGTATCATTGTATTTACTATTTAAAGTGGTGGCTCCGTATTTCGACACACATTTGATGCGTGTTGAAATCGGCTTCTGAAGGTTTTTCTAGCTCAAGTAATGGTTGATCACCACCTAACTCGCCCGTGACATATATATAATTCCTGGACCATAAAAGAATAGATCGACCATACTCGACTTATGCACCAATGCAAATCAGATTAGACCAGACTTGAATAGTTATTTGTAAAATGCACATAAACAGGACATCCATTAGACCAATTCAGATTAGACCAGATCTGAACAAACCAGATTAGACGATCAAAAGTTCAGTTCAATTAAAAACATCATAAAAATGAAGTCTATTCTTAATGCAATGAAGGACTACGATCCCTTAGTCCATTTTTGGGCGATCTTAAAAGTTAAAAATATACACTTTCTAAATTGAAATTCATTACTAACAGGTCCTCAAAACACTCTTTTTACATTATTTTTTAGGAAAAATAATTTGAATAATACCAAGTATCATCCATAAACCAATTATAATACATACTTTGAAAATGATTTTTTTTAATACCAACTATTTGAATGTAAAACAAAAATAATATGGAGTCACTTTTTGACAAGAAATCCGGTCATTTAAGACATAAAAAACAAATGACAACACATCAAATAAATGATATTTTAAAATACATTCACTTATTAGATGTTTTCATACAAGCTTTTGTTGAGTTAAATGATTGATTTTTTTGAAAAAAAATTGCTGTATATCACTTTTGGTCTATATTTATATAGTTTATATTATTAAAACTTATTACCAATTTAAAGTACATATTCTTATTGGTTCATGGAAGATAGTTTGTATTATTTAAAGTTGTTTTCCCTATTTTTATCTACCACTTCATCTTTTATTCTTAGAATTATTTTTCTTACTTTTTGAAGATTACAATAAAGAACAATAACATATTTTGTTTTCTTAATTAAAATCCACGTCAAAATAAAAATACTAGCGTATAGTACAGTATATCTTAATGGTGGAGTGTATATATATAGGCAAAAGGGTCAAGTAGGCCCTTAACTAGCTTAAAGCGTTCAATTAGCCCCTTATATAGAAGGTTCAGCCCGGCCATCGCCAATTGGGGAGGTTTTTGGTGGAACTTTTTGATGAAATTTTTTGAGCATCTTCTTCATTAAGTCTAGTTTACCCATATCAAATTTCAACTAAAAATTAAATCGGGAAGACAGTCAAATTATTTTTCGAAATGTACCGCACTGTTTAACTGCACAGTTATCTTTAAAAAATCATTTGACTACCTTCTCGGTTGAATGTTTAGCTGAAATTTGGTATGGGTAAACTAGACTTAATGAAGAAGATGCTCAAAAAATTTCATCAAAAAATTCCACCGGGAACCTCCCCAATTGGCAATGGACGGGCTGAACATTTTATATAAGGGGCTAATTGAACACTTTAAGCTAGTTCAAGAGTCTATTTGACCCTTTAGCCTATATATTTATAGTCTTGGACTCTGGAGTTTATAACTATTGGATGGTACAGCAGTGAGTAGCTCATATACCTACTTTTGAAATTCATGTTAAGGAGGATCAACTCTAATACATATTCCTTTACTAAATATTTCTTTTTTTAATTTTTAGCTATATCTAAATTAGATTTAGAGTTTTTTTTGAAAGAAATTACAGCTAGAGTTTTTTAAGCATCCATCTTATGATAAATCAAGTAAAACCCTCCCCATGCCACAAGCCAATCATCATACACCTAAAAAGAGTTCGATCATGTCGTGAAATGGCTCTTTGGTCCGGGTCTAAATGATTCCGAGAAATTTCATTTGCAATTATACCAAATACGATAGTATTATGTATAAGGAGGTTTTTACTTGGACGGTAATTTGTTGATCTCGTCTGTTTAGATCTGGCCTGATTTGGTCTGTTTAAGTCTGGTCTGATAAATGTCTGATCTCTGTATATTTTATAACTACGGATGTCAAGTCTGGTCTAGTCTGATCTGTTTAAGTCTAGTCTGGTCTAGCTAGTAGAGTTTGGTTTGGTCTGGTCTGGGACTGAAAACAGTCCAAGTAAAAACATCATAACTTATACTGGGTTAATGTTTAATTAATGCGAAGTATATAATTTCATATCCTCATTCATGCCAAGAAAATTTCGTGACGACGGTGTTACCGGCGATGATATTGTCAATTCGAAAGCAGTCTGCAAATTAAATTAGGGCATCTTCATCCATAAGATTGTTAGAGGATAAAGTTGGTCATGTGGCGGGTTATATTTTAGATCATGATTTTGGGTGATGAAGATTATTTGGTGAGGTTATTTGAAAAAATAATCCGAGATTTAAATATGAATCCAGATTATCTCAAGATTACTGTGAAACTAGTATCAATTAGTAAGTGCAGTTACCACAAAAAAAATTGATTATTTTGAGATGATGAATGTTGTAATTTAGAAGGTGTGAGATTATCTTTTAGTACCAAAAAGATAAGACTGGCATTCATCCAATAGCTCATTGCATATAAGAAAACTGAATCGAATGATTCTGCTGAATTTATGAAGTTTTGATTGAAGTGGAAGAATTGAATAAAATTTTATTGTGAGAGATACATGAAGGAGGAGAATGAACATCAATGCTAAAAGCATTACAATTTGTTCTAGTTCTTTTGTAGGGATTGAGATCCTCTGCCCGACTAGGAGGGTGCCTTCGCAGAGGACGGCTGGACAGGAAGAAGAAGAGCACCTCGAGATACGCAAAAAGGTGGACCCCAATAATCTCCGGTCGTTGAGCTCTCGATCTGACGGTAGCCCTCGGCCATGCACCCTAGCTTGAGACCCCGAATTTTTGTAGACATGCATATTCCATGTGGTATTGATTGATCAATCATCATTTTCACACACGTTAAGCTCAAATCAAATCATTCCGAACTTCATACAGACACGGAAGATTCATTCCATGTTGAATCCTCTCAATTCGCTCCTTATAGCCATTATTATTTTTATTACAATATTAAAATAATACGATAGTGTAGTATAACTGTATAATATGTATACTATATACGAGTACATGTGAAACAATTCCAATGACTACTACAAACTAGTACAAAATAAAATATCTGCCCAACAACATGAAAAGCAATCCGAACTACATAGACCAATATATAGCAAGGTAGTATTATTTATCCACTAAATTTATTATTTAATTAGAAATGGGATATATTAAATGAAAATTAAATAATTATTTTCTCCAGCCCTATGAATACGTACGTAGTCAGGCAACTTGGATTTTTCCATGGACAGAATTATCAGCCAATCCGTTCTGCTTGTCAATAGTGTTTTCATTCCTTTCCAGTTTTAAGGGCACTATTATCTCCTGCTGTTTTACAGTGGGGGAGGGTTCCTTAATAGAGTGGGGAAGCAATTCCCTCTTCCGCAGGTTATCTATGGCTCCTCTGAACATGTCCTCAAGAGTGTACTTGAATTCAAACCCCAAGTCTAGCAACTTCTTGGATGAAAAGGACACCACTGGCAAGTCCTTTTGAATGCCCTTAAACCTGTCAAAATATGCCCAATGAAATGCCTTATAACTTAATGCTACCAAGTACCAAGATATTTAAATGTTGTCAAGTCCTCGATCTCATACCCATCAATTAAAACGATAAACCAATCTCTAATATTGTTATCTCTAATATTGTAAAGTACTTCTATTATTAGGTTTAGCTTTTAGTATGAAGAGGGCAGATTGATGAATCTTAGTTGCATGAATTGGACTAGATTGAAGAGTAATTATATTAACTTGAACGTTAAATAAAGGGGTGAACGGAATATGAAAAATGAAAAAACCTTTGTTAAAAAATTGGAAAAAATTAAGCCGCACCGGACTTCAACCCAATATAGGGAGTGTTTGAAATTGACTCTGATTCTGCTTCTTTTTTAAAAGCAAAAGTAGAATCAGAATTAATTTTTCAGTAGCTAATCTCCCCAACTTCTAAAAATGGATTCTATGAGCAGTTTTAAGCACTCGGCACTTTTGCATTTTTATCCATATCTGCTTCTGCTCCCTGAAGGAGAAAAAACTATTATAAGAAGCAGATCCAAACACCTCCATAGTCCCAATGCAGATACTTCCCTCATCTATGAACATCAAGACATAATATATACATGAACCAATTAAGTTTTCATGAGTAATATGATTGTGATAAGCATATAGCAATGTCTAAGAGGAAATCAATTTGGAATCCATACGCTTTATAACGAGTATGGATTCCAATTTGGGCTCCTCTTCATCCTTAAATAGTACTCCCTCCGTCCCTAAATGTTTGTTCTACTTTGACTTTTGCGGTCTTCTAGGTAGACGTTTGACCGTAATTATCTATTAATATATAACTATAAAATCTATAATAAATTGACATTTGAATAATACATATTATAAAGAATCACATTAAATATTTTTTTAGGGATAAAATATTATTAATTTTGAGTAATTAGCGGTCAAAGTTTAACAAGTTTAATTTGACTCAAAAGGTCAAAGTAGGGCAAACTCTTATTTAGGATAAAAACAAAATAATTCCATTTAGAAAATCACCTTTTATGAAGGTGAGTAGAATACAATAGAAAACAGGAGAAGTGAAAGATTGGAATTGAAGGCAGCTTACTCAGAAGGGATGTAGTATTCGGGCCAATTCTTTCTGAGCATCTTTGATAAACCGTGAATGGTGGTATGATGAGAAGAACAGATGAATCTCCCCTCTGCTTTGGGATTTTCATACAAAAATATGTGAGCCTCGCACAGATCATCCAGATGCACAAACTGCCCTTGCTTTATTATAGAGTAGTGTGGTTCATTCCCTATAGGCACCCCATAAATAAGTTACTATCAAGTATTAATCTTCAATTATTTTAGGAAATATAATAATACTACCCAATTTAATACGTAGAAGTTTACTACTCCGTACTTTTTACTAGGGTAATTTAATACGTACTGGAGTAGTTTATTAATTACTCCCTCTGTAACTTTAGAATCTTCCCATTTCAAAAGTAGGTAGATTAAGAATAGTGAAAGATGATATGAATTATTGAGGGTATGATGGGAAAATAGTGGAATAATGTGGTGGAATGTAGGATAAATCCAAAAAAAGTAGTTGTAATAGTGTATTATTTTAAGAATTATTGAGGGTATGATGGGAAGATTTAGAAATGGGAAGACTTTTGTGTTACGGACGAAAAAGGAAAGTGGGAAGATTTTTAAGTTACGGAGGGAGTACTATAGTTCAAGGATTAGAAGAGTGTAATAGGGTGATAAATGTAGGCAACTTTACTCTATGTGTGTTGTATTTCAATCATTAGAGACAATATCAAACAAGACCAAACAAAAAGATACTAGCTTCAAAAAGAAAAAGTTAGACCAAACATATACTCCGTACAACGGTAGAAGAACATAATACAACATTACCTTAATTATCATACTAGATTTAAATAAATCAATCTATATGAGACATAAACAGATCTAACTTGGTTTAATGTACATTTACCCGGTAGGAATATGCAACATTATATTTGTGCAATTTTGTAGGGAAATGTAGGTGTTTAAGGAATACCCGTTATTGGTGAGAGTGCAGTGATGAGGCTGGGAGGAAATGTTGGGGTGATAAATTTGCCAACCACAAGTGGGGGTATAATACTGATGAAATCAATTTTCTTTTCTTTGGCAACCTTCCATGCTTCCTTCTCTGCAAGTGTCTTTGACACAAAGTACATCTGCAAAAGAAGATTTGACAACTAATTATTGTCATTAAGTTCCAATTCCTTCTCCCATGTTCCAATTCAACATGGGAAAGTTTGTAGGGTACTCTTTGAGCCCACAAGTTGACCAAGTCAATCAAGTGAGTGACGCTTATGTCACATTTGCTACACATTTTAATGATCGTGTGATATGTGATATGAATCATATGATGTGTCACTTCTTGACTTGGGTTATAGTTAAATTTTTAGAGTAAATTTTTTCATTTTTTGTATAATCTTACAAGTTATTTTTTCCTAATTTAGAGCTCGTTTGGTGACCCTGTTTTTCGGTTTATCAGGTTTATTAGCCGTCAACTTTTTCAAAAACACTTATCTTTTGATTCCGCGCGCTGAATTGTGTAATAATAAGAAAAGGTAAGGTTGAAGTTACTTTTCTGACTGTATTGGCTGGAGTTGTGGTAGAGAATCATTTTAGATATTTTTCATATAATTTCATTTTTATTTATGTAATTAATAATACAATACTAGTATATTTTAATTTTTTTTATAAATCAGCAAAATCAGTCAATCCAACTATTTCAGTTAGAACTTCATAAATTTCAGCAGAATCGACATTAAGCCAATTTCAGTGCTACCAAACGGGCTCATAGTATAATGAGCCTTTAACTAGCGCATTCCAAATTTCAGGATTCGTCCTTTGACCGTTCGAGGAATTTAATCATTTAACAATGGTTCATTTTAAGGATTTTACATGTATTTATAGTAGAGATGATAAAGATAATAAGGAAGTTTAAAGATGATAACAAACCCATCCAGTCATTTTCTTGTTGTATATGAAATCCAAGTCACTCCAATTGCTCTCGTCGTAGATCGGTTTTTGTGTTTCCTGGACGTTGAGAGTTCCGGCTGAAGAAGTGAAAACTAGCCTCTTCACCGTCTTTGCTTTCACACAAGAGTTTATGATGCTCACCATTCCCTTAATTGTTGGCTTAATTACCTCATTCTAACACAAAGCACACATTTATACATAGTATAAGAGAAAAGAACCTTGATGCAAATAGGAAGAACGTACACACGGAGATGCAAATAGGAAGAACACACGGAATATTTTATAAGTATTAAACAATAAAACCTTATGTTAATCTTGCAATTTTTCTCATATGTACAATGTTACTAAAGCAAAAGATAGGCACAGAATATGATTATATGGTCGTTGCACCCGGCCATACAAATACTGGAGTATAAACTATAAAGTTATATGGCATTCACTTCAAAATTTTCAAATCTCAATATTTTATGGGTAAGAAGTTTAATTGGTAAAAAATTACTAGAAATTTTCGTCTCATCCTAACATTTTTGTATTGGGACTAAAATTACTAGTCCATTGGTGCCATTATTAGCTTCACTATAATAATTTAGTTGTCATTATACTTTAATGTTTTCGTAGTATTGAAAAAAAAATAGGAATTGCTTAATAAAGGATCAAAATATTGAAAAAATTTGAAATAAGGTTAAAAATGTTTTATTTTCCAAATCAAACTTGATTAGTCCTATTAAAAGAATAAGTTGATTCAAAATTTCCCAATGTAGAAGTGATTAAGTCCTCATTTGGGAACAAAATATAATAATAGTCCTATTTATTAATTGCCTTAGTTTTTCCACACATATTATGAAGACTAAGGTGTGCTTAGTGAAAAGTGAAAAGTCAAACTTTCACTACAAAATATCCATTGGATTTACACCTTCCAATGATTCTAGCCTTTTCAATTAGTTTTAGTTTTCCAAAATGAATATATATAAAAAAGAAAAGTTCTCAAGAAATTAAACCGGGAGATTTTGATTATTTGTAGTACCTCTGGATCTTTGGACTCAAAATCCATAGGGGTGGCCACATGAAACACACCTTCACAACCTGCAATAGCTTCATCAAAGCTTCCCTCTTCCTCCAACAACCCTTTCCACAGTGTTAAGTTCACGTCGGCTTTCGACAGTTCTAACAAATGCTTCACCTTTTTTGCGTTTCCTACGTAATACATTAGAGATATTCATTCCAAACAATATTTTTGAGAACTTTTTTTAGCATAAGAGTAAGATTTTTTGCTTCAAACTTGGGTTACTTTGGTCTTTGGAATGATAAAACTATTTCATTTTAAATAGTACTCCGTAGTTAAAATTAATTGTAAACCAATCCGAAAATCAAAATGATGTATTAAACTTATCTTAGGATGGAAAAGAGTATACATACGAAGTATAATGTAATATTCACTATAGAAAAATAACGGGAATTAGTAGAGATCTTTATTGAAACGTCATATACGGATTTGGTGAATCTGTGCCAAATCCATGTCAATCTTGTTATTTTTTGTAGTGATTCTGAACAAGCTACATAAAAGCAAAATGTGAGGTAGATAGATACCGGGATCCCTAACGGTTGCATGAACATGGTAGCCTCGTTGAAGAAGGCGCATGACTAGCCATGACCCGATGAACCCAGACGCTCCGGTCACGCAGACCGTGGGCACGTGAACAGTAAGACGCGTTGAAATAATATCCCGATGAACATCGCTCCCAACTCCGACCATTTCTTTGTTCTTCCTACGTTAATGTTACTTTCCCCACAAGAGACAATTAAAGTAATCTACACAAGTGATTTATGATGCTTGCTTATTTATACACACACAAATATGAATATGTAATGAATTGTACGGTACGTTTTGAGGTGGAGTGGTAGGCTAGAGACCGCCCACGCGACGACAGCCGAAATGCGTGGAGCGCGCGCTCAACCCCCGGTTTGGTGAGTGAGCGAGTCAACTCAAATAGCTTCATTTGGTCTTATTAGCAACAAGAGGGTAGCTAGAGAGGCCTATTCATTTACTGGGGTACTCTATTTAATAGCTCATCATTATATTTAAGGTACAAATCGGCACATGCGAGAGATTGGTAGTCTCAACCGTCACTTGGAAAAGTGTTACACGCCAAGCTTTGTACCCATAAGTATTTGAATGTAGACTACATTCTATTTGATGATTTACTTTAAATTGAAATCAAGTGCATCTAAAAATCAAGTGGACTTTAAATTGAATGAAATCATAGTTACCTATGTATATTTTCGTTACAATAATGCTGAGGTTGGAATATGAAAGTTACAAATATCATCTAAAGGGATAATCTATAATGAACTAAAATGTGAAATCAATCTCAATGTTAAGTATGTAAGTTAGTCAAATTCATCAATGATTGTTGCAAGAGTAACCAGATCGAGTAACTAAAAAAAATAATAAAAGCAAATGAACGATTAAATTAAATAAAGAAAAAGGGATACAAGGACCAAACATATAATCAATATATATATATATATATATATATATATATATATATATATAAGAGGAACTTTTTAAGAGCATACAAAGCGCCACATAATCCTGTCATGTCATCATATATATTAATTATTTAGTTATTGTTATACCTTCTATTTTTATTAGCTAGATTCTATTTTTGATTGCATATTGATATGGAAACAAAGATCCGTAGAAATCCACCTTAATTAATTTGGTAACGTTTTCAAAACCCATTACATATTTGATAAGTGTTAAATTGAGAGAATTTCCCAAATAGGAGTAAAAGATAGGCAAAATGCAAAAATAGGAGTACCATGTTTTGAATAGGAGTAATTTTAGTGTTTAGACAAGTATATCCCTACCCAAGTCCCAACAACTTTCATTAATAATTAAAACATAAAAGGAATAACCCTTAATTTATAATAAAATTGTAAAAAAAATGAAAAACACAAAAGTATATCAAATAAAACATACTTCGTATTAAATAAAATTAATAAAAATAAAAATTATTAAAATAAAAAATATTAAATAAAAAACTAAAAAATTAAAATTAAAAAAAAAACAAAAAAAAATATGTAGGCGTCTGCCGCCGCCTCAACAACCTCCCAGCACCACCAGCTCCGACCACCAAAAAAAATGCCAACATTTTTTCGAAATGCCATCATGATGGCAGATTTTGAGAAAATTTGGCATTTTCAAAGAGCAAAACTACCATCTTTATGGCATTTTCAAAGAAAAATGGAAGTTTTAACATAAGATGGCATTTTTTCCGCCGATCGGAGGTGACATTGCTGGGTGATGGCCGAGGTTGCGACAAAGGCCTGCATAATTTTTTTATATTTTTTAATGTGGTTTATCTATTTTTATTTATCTTCAAAATTTATTACTTTTACAAAAATATTTTTTTTAATTTTTATTATTTCAATATATTTTTTCAAATATTTTAGAATTTTTTTATATTTTATTAGGATCAAATAAGTCATATTTTAGAATTAACTAGGTTAGGGGTATTAAGGGTACAAAATTAATGTTTACTTCTATTGAAGGAAGTTTTAAGTTTCACTCCTATTTGTGCAATTATGTTTATGTTTACTCCTATATTGGGCAATTTCTCTATTAAATTCTGTAATTGGAACCACAACACTTAATAGCCAAATTTTAAGCACGGACTCAAGGAGTAACAATCATTTAATTATTACATTCTATTAAAGAGATGAAGTATTCGTTTTTTGCCCACTTAACAGATAAATTTGCCAAATTGCTATTAATTTTGTCTTGAAAGTAATTTGATAAAAATAAAAAATGTAATAATAGTGTCCCATTTCGTAAAATGTTATATTTTATTTTTCTAAACTCAATGTTCAGATAATGATTACAATTCTTTTTTCAAAAAAGATAATGATTAAAATTCTATGCCCCGGATTTGCAATTGTGTTAATACTTCGCATTTTTCTCCATCTTCATACAATTCTTTCTTAATTAATAAAATAATGATAAAATTACAACCACCATATAATTGAAATTAAAAAAACGAAATAAAAACTATTAGACATTCTAATATAGAATCTTAAAAAGAATACTTCTGATCAAGTAGCTTACCTTATTTCATAAGGATGAAAATTGATATCATACATAAATACATACATGTATGTATATTTTCACAAGTAAATACGTTTAGGCCTAGCAAAAAAAGTAAATATGTTTGGTTATTTCTTGATTTTACAACTACAATTTAAATGTGCTTTCACTTTTGAAATAGATTCATAATCCAAATTAGAATCTTTCTATGTTTACAAATTCCTACTTTTATTTTAATAGAATTTTTTTAATTGGATTGATTTCAGTTCCAGATTAAATCAGATCAGATCAAACTTTAATAATAATAATAATAATAATAATAACAATAATAATAATAATAATAATAATAATAATAATAATAATAATAAGTCACATAAAATATAAAACAAACATCTACAAGACCATATTAATTCATACCAAATCAAATCCAAAATTTTATATCAATTAAAAACGTCCTTATTAATGAGTAAAATGTAAGATCTCACAATTAAAATTTTAAAATGTGTATTTCATTCCAATTTAAATGAGAAATACTAGAAAAGTATTTTTTTTAAAATGCTCAATAAAGTAGTTTAGATGTTCATAACAAATAAAAATTGTTTTTAATGTAACGAAATAATGAGTAAAATGTTAAAAAAAACTCCATTTTTTTACATTTACGGTGTGACAAAATAATGAGTAAAATGTAACATCTTATTATTAAAAGTTAAAAGTATGTACTCAGTATTTCACATCAAGTTGAATGAGGAATAGTAAAAGAAAAAAACTTGAGGTGCATAATAAAGTAATTTAGAGAACGTGAGATTATGAATTCTTTAAAATCGGGTTCATAACATGCACTTATATTTACTTGAGATGATTATGTAGAAGACCAATTTAACTATTTTTCATACAATCTTTTCTTGGCTTCACAAATAGAATATATTTTACATTTTTTTTTCATGATTCAGGAGATTCCACCCATTCAGCCAATTCAGCCAGAATTTAATCAATTTTAGTAAAATAAGTTAATTCGATTTATTATAGTATTATTAAACAGGCTCTATATTAGGCTAAGTTTATTTTTCTTTTAAATCACATTACATATGATCCGAAAGAAATCAAATTTCAAATTAGCTAAATTAATGTTGCCCGTGCATCGCACGGGCTTGAAAGTAGTCAATTATATGGGAGTAAGAGCATCTCGGATGTTGACATTATAAAAACAAAGTATTGTTTTATTTTTGCTTCAATACATTCTTTCGACAATTATGCAGAGTTGTACGAAATAAATGTACACAGCGTGAACCCCAATTTCTCATCCTGAAAAGCCAGTTACACAGGCTATCTCAACAGAGAGAAAGATATCGTAAAATGGTGCCTCTTCAGAACTTTGGTAAATGGCGCATCATCTCCTAAAGATTTAGAGGTAATACATTTTGGTTGTAGAATCTGTCGTAATGATATGGCAGTTGTACATCTCCTCACTAATTGCCACTAGACTGCTGGAAGCGGCGGACGATTCTTGCCTCCTTGGGACCTCTCGCTCCACCCTTCACCCCAAGTCGACTGCCCAACTTAGTCATTTGTCCTCGCCTTCTCCTTTAGACAATTGGACTCCCATCTAATGAATTGATCACGAAGATGGTATGTATTAAGGTACTCCGTATTCGTCACGCATTCTGCTAAATTTCTATATGTCTTGTTGCTATTAGCTCCCTTTCTCGGTTTACCTAAGAATTAGGATTTTTAAAACCTAGTCTCAAATTTTAATTTCATGAATTGGTATACCATATGACCATAGTATTAACCTAACTTGCAATTTTATAAGTGACTAAATCAACTTGGGATTTATTAAAGCTTAGAATGTTGAACTTTTACATGAATTGTTACTCCTACTTTTATGAACTTTTTAAAAAAATTACTTTCTAGATTGATTTGTTAGCAATGTTTACGATGTTTGAATTTAAAATAAAACTAGACAATGATGAGTTTCTCACTACCTTCATCTTTTCTCTATTCTGTTAAGGCCTTAAGGTTTAAAGGTTTGAGCAGTTTTAGTAATAAACACATTTATGGTCATACTCCCTCAGTCCCAAATTGATTTGCAAAATCGACATTTTTTGGTCAACCAATGTTAAAACTAATTCTTCCCTATTGATAAGTAATTCAATTTTTAATAATTGAAATTTACATATTTAGGAACTACCACCACAAAAAAACGTCTGAATTGCGACAAGAATTGCCACGGATAAAGTTAAAAAATCCGTCTCTATGCAAATCAGAGACGGTTTAGAGAAGGCTGTGATCCGTCGAAATACGTTGGTCGGAAACTCTGGCTACGGATTGGAGCGACGGATATTAAAAATTAGAGGCGGCTTTCAGACGGTAATTTTCGTCTCAAATAGAGACGGCTGGAACCGTATCTACATTGTCACACGCCTTTTTGGTTTTCGACCGATTTAACCGTCCCAAAAACTGTCCCAATGCAAATATTTCAATTCAACATTTCTGAAATTTACAATTTCTAAAATATATAGTTAGGTTGCCTCACCTGCTTATGTGTTCCAGTTCTGCTGCAAATACACACCACCCACAAAATTTATCATTCACCCATAAACTGCTATTATCAATACGTAGTATAACCCATTCACATTTCATAAAACCTCAAAACATTAAAACATCAAAACGTTTCACAATGCCCATTTCCAAACAAAACATATGAAACACATTGTTAGACAGGGCACTCAACTACCAAAATATCATATTGTCA